TTATGTCACGTAGATAAGAATGTGCGTGATTTAAACTGTCGAAAAAAGTTTTAACATGTGAATTATTGAACTCGATTCTAGCTCTAAAGGTACTTTAAATTTCAGTCCAAGATTGTAGACATTCTCGTATTTCAACAAAATGAGTCATATAGTTTTAAATAGATAAATAGATATAACTAAAAAAACGTGTTTTAACCAAACAGCTATGGCTGCTTTCTTACCAAATCCAAACTATAGCATACAGGTATACATACCATTAACACGAATAAAATTGTTAAAATATGCTATCATGTAAAAATAAACATTAACCTTTTTTTCTCTTTTCTCATTAGTCATAATACAATCTAAAATTTGTTACATATAGAACAATAAGTAAATAGACGAATGACATTATGACTTGAAAAATAACGAAGCCTTCCGGGGAAGCCACTTAGTCAATGAAAACATTTACCTACGTGTATTATTTTTATTACACAGTTTAATTTATATTTCCGATATAATTAAGATTTGATTTTTAAATTTTCAAATCAAATAAAATTCTAATTAATTAATATCGATATTGTTTGTGGAATCGTTATTTATTGTACAGACTGCCAAATGCCATTGTTGTTAATATGTGGTGCATGCAGACATTAAATAACCACAGAAAATACTTTTATAGTTTTCAAATTTAGTTTACCAAAGAAAATCATCTATGTATACTGAAAGTGGATACTATATTGTGCCGATTCACCGAAGGAGAAAATTGAATTGAAGTATACAAGGAAAACATTTCACAAATCACGATACATACTTGCTGATAGAAATCTATTTTACATTAGTTTTAGTCGTTTTGTAAAATAAAAATTAATATTATTATTGGGTCAAAAATATAATATGTATTTAATATTTTTGAACAAAATTTGATAAGCACTGATATATTATTAATATAACTATATCATTGTCAATATTTTAAAAGGAGGATTTTGGCAGTAATATAGGGTATTAAACCAAGACAGCTCAACCTCATTTATTCAAATTATGATATTTGGAATTTGTAAGTAGGTGTACCGACTTAAGGACCATTTTTCGCAAAAGTTTAGATTTGTATCCATTCAAGCATGGTCTTGAGGATATACCAACTTATGTTTTTCAAATAAAAATCACCCCTTTTTCCTGTCAATTGTTAATCTTATGATTTTGTTGGAAATGTTGATGAATCTAAATCGAAATTTAAACTAGTTATTGTTGAGTAATTTAATGTTGTGTATTAACTATTATAAATCCATGGGTTTGGAATATATAGGGCCTTTGATGATTCGAAAATCGTATTAATTAATATTAATCTATCATTCTATCAACATATTTTAATAATTTATAAAAATAAAAATGTATGCTAAATCCAAACATTTATTTTATATTTTTGTAAAACCAATTTAAGGATTATTATCATTAGTATTACATTATTTTTAAACTCAGAAACTATTCGTTCGAATTTTCATGAAGGTACCCACTTCAACATTTTTAAAAAAATTATATGTTTAATAATTTGCTGCAAAAATGTAAGTTCTCATTTGATAAAAGACGTTTGTATCGTCACAGACACTCTTTAAATTAAAATATCAATATAAAAATAAAAATAATTGAAAATATGATTCTTACTTTGTGGTAGGTATACTTGAAAACTCTATGAATAATTGTTTAAAGCTGATTCTTTTCTAAAATAAAAAAATGCCAGTGAGAATGCTTGGTGAATCAAAAGCCTAGTATCCTGTGCAGTGTAGCATTATAACAACAATTAAAAACCACATTTGCTTTCGACCTTTTATGATTCGTCACTCGTCAGTCATACCATCCTCTTTGGGCACAAAACGTTTATCATGATATTCATAAATTCAAATACAAAAAAGTAGTCTAGTTTCATCAATAAAACGATGGAAATAAAGACTAAAAATACAAATCAAATGTTGAACTTAAAATGCACTTGGTTAGTCATGACGCGCCTAATGGCAAAGATGCCGTGACCCATTGGTTGAAAACCAATAGCACTAACAAGCATGCTCTTAATTCTTATTCACTTATCGTAAAACTGAAATCGTGTATACTAATAATATAATAATACAAGATAATTCTAATGGAGGGTGCAATCAGTAATCACAGTCTATTCAAGAACTCCTGCTTAAACCCTACCAGCGTGAAGTTCATTGAATTCTCAAACCCATCATCGGGATGCCAAAAATAAACTGATATTATTGTATTTACCTATGTAACTTGCTGTAATGTTTGCTAGTAGGAATATGTCTAAAAATTATGATTTATTTTATATTTATTGCAGTAGATGCCTATGTGGTGATCAAAAAACTAAATTACAAATAGAATTTTGTTCATTCATATCATTTAGGAACTCATAAGTTATAACATTATAAGTAATAGATTTTACATATTTCTTAGACATTGAGTATGAATAATTTTGCAGACTAATTTAGGCAAAGTAAAACTATGTTTAATTTAAATTTATTCATTAGGCGATTTATCAAATTTATATGAAAAATTAAATAAATGGTCTCAAAAAAAAAACATTTGTTTAATGATTTCAGAAAAAGTAGCTGAAAGGTTGTACATCAGAATTTTTGATAGATATATTTATATGATATAAAACGAAAAACTGTAAATACAATTATTAAACTTGGTATCAAAAAATACCACTAGTTTCAAAATAACAATTTTTTTCTTGTACGTATAATATTAGCAATTCAGACGTAAACGCGTTCAATTTGCATTACTGAATAATATCATATTTTACCATATATACATATACATAGTTTTGCCCTTAAAGAAAAATATATTTATAATAAAAAATAAAAAAACACTATGAAAATTAATTTCCCATTTCATGTCTAAAATAATATATTCTCATAAAGAAGCCGTTTATTTCTTTAATTAATAATTTGTTTTATAAAGTACCATATAAAATATGTATTCGATAATAATGCAATGAAGTCGTTATTGTCTAGTTAAATAAAATAAATTGTTGTAAATTGATTTTATTTTCACCCATACCAGGTATATTACATAAATATTCAATAAAGGTGGACGAAATCAAACTCAAAATATATATTCCCTGTTTTTTTTTTCAAAAATCTTTAATTGGAAACGCAATATTTTTGTTAAAAGTCCAAAATATTGATATTTGATTATTATTATTATACAAATATTGTTTACTTATAAATGAATAAAAAAGTCAATGTACAATGACAACAATAGTGTAAGGGTAAGGTACTCTGTTTATAGAGAAAAACGATAATTTAAATTTATCTGTAAGAGGCCCAACATTTCCAACACAAGGCAATCTTTATTTTTGATTGGAAAAACGTACAAGCTGAATTTCAAACATAATAAGTAAGGATAGTGTACTAAATAATTAAAAATTATAAAATAACAAAACAACTAAATGTAAAGCTTATGATAAGACCCTTAAGGACAGAATTTGTTTATTTAATCATACAAATGATAATTACGTTGGTTACGTCTATATATAAATAGTTAAATAAATAACCGGTAAATATGAAGTAGGTACCTAAATATTATATTATTTATATTACTTAGCTGGGTTATTACTTATTACTAAGTTAATAGACCTACAGGCTACAGCTATTATAGTTTCTACATTTCTGAATTACGACGAAATAAACGATGTAGATTTTCTTCAAAACGAGTGTTTTTCGACATTTTTCCCAATTTTTCGATTGTATTTTTAAAAATAAAACAAAATCTCTTCTGCCCTAACAAAGTTCTACTTCGAAGTTTAAAGTATTTATTTTCCAAAAAGTACAAAAAAACTAAATCACAACAATATAAACTTAGGTATTTCAGAATATTTAACGCTAGTAGTAAACATCGTTTTATGATAGTTCGAAACTTTTTAAGCATCACATGTTGTAAGCTTGCTCCTTGTTCTCATTAACAGCTTCGGCACAATATTTTTTTCTTTCTTGCTACGACTTAACGTGTAATATTGTAAATAGCAAGTCATTTATTAGGAAAATTCAATATGATCAGTTATCCCATATTCACCCTTGAAATGTAAATGGTATTTGTCCAAACAGTAATTTGTTCTACAGTACTGAACAAAAAATTACAATATGGTGTAAAGTGGGTGTCACTCGTTTAACGTAAACAACCACTTAGGTATTCGTATGTTTCGTTATAATATTAGTAACGCAGGTACATGACTTTTATTGATTAATTATAGTGTAAGTTAGGAACTTAAATTAATAAAAACAGTAAAAGTTGATGAAAAGAATTTGTTAGATACCTCCTTTTGATAAACTATATTGGGAATCTTAACTATATTTAACACATACTAATTAGATCGACAATGATTTATAACTCATCATAATGATTACAATGATACCTTTGTAAATATAATATTTAATTAAAAAATAAGAAAAATTACACGTCTGAGTTTTAGCAACCTTCTATAATTGCTCTCTATTAGCTTATTATAATTTATGATATACATTTTATTTTTATGTTATAGATATTTTATACTTTTATTTGAATACATACAATAAGGATATTATAACTGTCGTATATTACATATGTAATTATATAATAGTACCTACTGCAAAATTTTCTTTTGAGAGGTAGATAAACATAATAATATTTTTCGTTAATATTTCTTTAATAAAAAAATCCTCTCAGTTAATATTAATAGAACATAATATTATGAATACATGCTTTTAAAATCATAAAATAAAAAGCAATTTTAGGATTTGACCATAGTTTGACATTTTCTTGTCTATACTATTTCATGAATGTGCATTTAAAAATCTAATGAAAAAATGTATAATTATAATCTTAAACTCAATAAATTTTCATTTTTACAATGTTACGAGTGTGTGTACTACTATAATATTACACGCATTGTATAACTTACACAACATAATATACTTAATACTATTAATCAAATAAAATTCAATATACTTTTTGAAGTTAAATTGTTTTTTTTTTTTTTACAGTCAGCTTAATTATAATTGCATTACCGAACTAGGACCATTGGCATTCAAAGATGCCGAAATCGCCACGGTGTAAGTTTTTTTTAAATTTAACTCGAAATGTTAAATAATATTTAATAAGTACCCAGCCAATAAGGGAAAACATTCATCGCATATTTACCTGTGTCGTTGCAGTAAACTGAGAGGCAATCGTAAACTTCAAAAACTGGACGCTCAAGCTTTCGTCGGGATTAAAAGTCTCCGCTACCTGTAAGTTTTAAGACGCAAAAAGATATTTTAAGAGCATTTACGAAGTTTTTATTAAATAAACGCAACACGATTTGGGCTCGGAGCATATACCTGTACCTAAGACGCGGCAAGACAGTAGGACGAAATGTACAAATAGTTTCAAAGATAATTTCGTGTGAACTTATATTATTATAACAAGTTTTGTTTTAGACGAATTGAAATAGGTGTCATCCGTAACTTTCGTTGTTTCCGCGTTGTCCACGTTGTGTTCCGCAGCTGCAATAACCTGCACTTGTCCGCGCCGCCAAACACAGCCGCTTTTCCGCGGATCGTTATTACGACACACATTATATATATATATATATATGTATGCATTGTTTTTCCACAGAGACTTGTCGGAAACATCAATCCAGGATCTGCCTACAGCCGGTCTCGAAGAACTAGGTGTTTTGAAAATCGAAAAAACCTACACCATGAACGTATTCCCGTCCATCTACAACTTCAAGGTGAAAATAAATTATACCAACTCGAAACTACGGCAGGGCGCGGAGTTTGATTAAATATTATAATATTACGCTTATCTCTGGGTCGAATAAGAAATGGTTTAGGTTGATTGGCCACTGTATAATTTAATGGACCAATAAAGTATACTAAATAGTGCGTTTAAGTATAATAAATTAACAACTGCTATTGACTCATTAAATGTTTAGTGATTGCGCGACTCGGGATTAATATGGTACACGTGTAGAAACATTCCGGTAGTGGTAACCGCGCTATATTTGGTAGTATAGTACCAGTAGTGGTGTCGGTGTTGTGACATTAAAAAGGCCACTGATTCGCGGTATAAGGTCACTAAATCCAAAATAGATAGAAGGGGAAAAAAGTCTTTACTGAAGTTGGGCGCCTCTCTGTCCCAGTCGAACGTTGTCGAAATACCAAATTCGTCAACAATCACAATTCTATTTAGGTAGAATATGGAATTCGAAAAACGATTCCGAGCGAAGTTTGGACAGACGTGAACATGAACCGCGCTTGCCTACATTTATTTAATATAGGTATAATGTTCCGGAGTTTTTCTATAGTTTTTCCCTTTCGCTCGGGTAAACCTTTTTCAACGAAAATCAGAACACATATCGTTGTAAAAAGCACGAACTGGATGAAATTTTCAGTCGACAAAAAATGTGACTATTTGCGAAACGTTTGAAACTATCGAAGTAATACTCAAAAGAGTATCCACAGAAAAAAAATCTCGCCACTGTACTATTTTAAACAACGGTCTCCGTGAAAATCGTAAATGTATATACTTACAGTTGGTTCGAAATAAAGTACAATATTGTATTTTTCGCTATATCAAATATCATGTTTATCAGTAAAGATTTTGAAGAATTGAAGACGACGGTGTAATCAAAATTGGTCGCCAGGTTTCGACATATTTTAAGCCATTAAATCAACATATCACCGATATCATATGTTATAATTATAATGTTGGAGACCCGGTAATGTTCAAAAATATACGATACTGTAATATATACTGTAAAAAAAAACTAAAAAATGTATTTCAATTACATCATTTTAAAAATAAGAAAAGTATGCAAAAATAATCAACGAATAACAAAATTACGCAACATGCTTTAATATGTAAATTAAAAATTGTTTTTTGAGAATTACCCCTAATTATTATAAATACATAGTTAGTGCGAAAGAACGTTATTTGGTAAATGATTAATACGAATCGTATAATATACACTATACAGCTTACCAAAATTTAAAATCAATAATGAACATTTTAAATTTAAATTCACTTCCAGGTATTATTATTTTGAGTAAACTATTATAATGATATTATGATATATTATGCCAGACAAACCTCGATATATTCTAAAATACCTAAACAAAAAAAAAAACAAAAAAATATATATATCTGTGCTTAACGAACCTTGTTTGTTTGGGATTTTCACTGCCATCAAACCGCATACACTCAACATTGCAAAGATGCGATAATAGTTGGTACCTAGATGTATAATTTAATGACATACAAATCCACTAGACTCTTTTATTTATAATCTTCTTCTCGATAGAGGGGCCCCAACTCATCTATATATATATATATACGTAGGTGTGTGTACTGTGAACACTCGTGTTATAAGTTGTAAGACGTAATATTGCTGTACCTACCTATCTATATCTATATACATATACAAGTATCACGTCGTTATAGAAATGCGACCGATGACCGCGTTCCGGTATCGGAGTTTCGCAAGTGGAAGCATATTAATGTATTAATATAGTATTGTATATATATATATATATATATTAGTGCGTATTACATACTGCAAGACATGTAATATATTATTATGGTGTACTGCTGCTGCTGCACAGTCATCGGCGATCCAACCGATTTCGATTCATCCCCAAAATAATAGCATTACTCGTTACAACGGTCGTTCATGGTTTATTCATGTTGGACACGCGATAGCTATAATACCGCGGCAACATAATACACAACTTAAACACACACATATACACATTTGTGTGTGTGCGTGTGTGTGTGTGTGTGTGTGTGTGTGTGTGTGTGTGTGTGTGGGTGCATTTGCATACGGTTTGTTCTGCAAGTCTGCGAATTAGATCGTATCTTTGTCGTCCGCATGTCAACGGAATGCGTATAATACGGTATACAGTATTTCGGGCCCACACTAATTGTTAGATATTATTATTACCATTGATTGTAATTATTTTGCCCGCGAACCGCCGCCTTTGAATGTTTTAAGCACTTCTCGAGCTGTAGCTGGATATCTCGAGATCGTATTTATCGCCACAACAAAGATGGATGAGACGGGATTGACTTCGCACTCGCAGTGAATACTATTATACATTGTTGTATCTCCCCTTGATTGCGCGTTTAATTAAGAATGCATGACTATTGGGATAAAATATAATATAGTATTCGATCGACGCTCATACGGAAAAAATATGATATTATTGTGTATTTTATTGTATGATTTCTTTATTCAAAACCATAAAAGTGACGGTTTAATGCATACTTTTATCTCGTTTGCCCGAGTAACCTGCAACGGCAATAAATACTTATTTTTTCTATCACTGTTATAGTATTGTAATCTGTAAGCTGTAACCAATAGCGGCCATTTATAAATAACAATACTTCCATCGCAAATCTTACTTAATTAAATGTTCAATAAAAAATTTAAGGGCCACTTATCGAGATAACAATCACTGTCCTATATTTTAAGTCAGACCAAATCACACACATTGAACATAATCTCATCAAAATCGGTTGTGTAGTTTTGGAGTGCATCGCACGTAAACTCGTTGTACGCGTGATTTTTATATACAGTGAAACTTCCATATAACGAAGTCGAATAAGCAGCAAAAAAAATTCGTTATATAGAGGAATTCGTTAAATAGAATTACGTATTTTTTTCAACTTTTTTTTTATTATTTTTTTATTATGTATATTGTATGTATGTAAAAACAACATCAAACATCATATGTATTACAGTTTAATTTAATTTTTAACCTTAAATATAATTTAAAAGAAATAAATATAAAAATATAGTTTAATTTAATTTTTAACCTTAAATATAATTTAAAAGAAATAATCAGTAAGTTTTGTTTGTTTATTATNGAGTAATTGTTGTTCTCTGTTCAAGATTTGAAATAACTTTGTTCAAAATACGTTTTCGATAATACACTTTAAGATTATTTATTATTCCTTGGTCCATTGGTTGGAGCTTACTTGTTGTATTTGGGGGAAAATATGCAAGCGTTACAGATTTTAACTTTGTAGATAAGGTACGAGGATGAGCAGTACAATTATCCACAAATAAAATTATTTTTCGATTTTCTTGACTCATTTTTTGATCAATATCTAGTAACCACTTTTCAAAAATTAATGATGTCATCCACGCTTTTTTATTAAAATCGTAATTTGTTTCAAGTGATTTTATGCCTTTGAAACACCTTGGATTTTTGCTTTTTCCAATAATTAGAAGTTTTTGTTTTTCAGTTCCAGTCATATTAGAACACACCATCAAAGTAACTCGCTCTTTACTATGCTTACCTCCGAAACATTTGTCATTTTTAAAAGTTAACGTTTTGTTTGGTAAACATTTAAAAAATAAACCTGTCTCATCAGCGTTAAAAATATCTTTTGGATTGAATTTTTCAATTAATTTTGGTAAAACATTTAATTTCCATGTATCACAGTCATTTTCTTGAACATCAGCACTCTCACCACAAATAACTTTAAACACAACATTATGTCTCGATTTAAATTTATCTAACCATCCAGAGCTTGCACGAAAATCGATAAAACCAAATTTCTGAGCAAAATAAATTGCTTTTTCTTTGATTAACGAACCTGATATAGGCAGATTGTTATTTCGTATACAAGTCATCCATTTAAGAACAGCGTTGTCAACTTCTTCATAGACACAAATTTTCATTCGTTTTCTATTGCTGAGGAGAGAAGAATTTTGCATTTGATTGGTTATGTTTTCACGGTTTTTCAAAATGGTTGATAGAGAACTTGTTGGAATACTATATTTTGCGGCAATATCTTTTTTTTTAACACCTTTATCAACTTCGTTTAAAATTTAAAATTTATCGGAGATGGATAAACATTTACGTTTTGACATTTTTTTGTACGGACGAAGAGAAAACGAAAGAATGTATACTCGTTTGCACCAATATTGGAACTGAAGTGTACTACAGTAAAATTAATCAGTTTGCCTACCTTCAGTGTCTTATCTTTGTCGGGTTCAATGTACAAATGTACGGGTTCATGTACAATTTTAGACCTACTATGACATAAACTATCAATTTGATAGTGACAACATTTACAAAAACTGGTTTTTATCGAATAATTATTTCGTTATAATATAGAAACATCGGATTCGTTATTTGGAGATAAATTTACGTGTAATTAACAATGAAGGTAATAGTTCTTAAAAATATTTCGTTAAACAGAAAATTTCGTTAAATGGAAGTTCGTTATATGGAAGTTTCACTGTATTAAGAGGACGTCGCACCCGAATGTGTTGTCTACGTCTTACACACGCACGACATGGCAAATTTTCGTTCACTAGTTTAAATAGTGCGCCGTTAGTTTTGATATTTAAGCGAATCAACCTGTTATCAACTAACGTAGAGAACTTTTACATGAGAACATTATCTATGTTTTCTAGCCAGTTTTTTACGATATTTTAATTCTTAAGTGAGTATGTTAAGCATTAATATTTGAAAATGATTATAACTCACTTAAAAATTAAAATATTGTAAAAACCAAAGAGAGAACACAGAGTATGTGTGAAAATACAGAAAATTCACCATGTCATGCGTGTGTAAGACGGAGACAACACATGTGGGTTCGATGTCCTCTTAAGATATTGTACTCGTCGTTTTGTTACATAAACTCACCCGACGTGGTGACATTTTTTTCTCGACTAAACGCTCAGCGCTAACCTATTATTATTTTGACTTGTTATTATAAGTACACATTTAATGATATTATATTACAGAACATTAAAGAAGCTTGGTTAACGTATCCGTATCACTGTTGTGCTTTTCATTTTCCGAAAACACACAACCCGCAAGGATACGCAGATCATGAGGTAATATTATTGTCAAATATGATGTAGTTATATGTACGTGATTCCTAAAACAACATCAAAAAAATGTTCATATTATATTTTAGTAAAAATAAAACGTTATCATAACAATTTTTTTTCTATTATTATTATTTTAGAAACTCCAACAAAAAATGTTTCATGAATGCAAAAATATACCATTTGTAGACCCGATTTCTACTGTGAAAACAATGCACTCGACCACGGAGAATTTTATTGGCGAAGAAATGTTTCATTCAGGCGGTAAGCATTTATGTTTAAATAATGTTTAACATTATTACTATTATAACGATATATATTTTTGCGAGCTCAATAAACGCACAATATATGCGAATATCAAAAGATAGTTACCTAACTATCGTTGAACTTTGATATAGAATAGGTACCATGGTCACTGTCCCACTTTAAATACTTGACAAGACTTTGATTACTGTATTATTATATATTGTCCAAGTAATAATAAACTATTTGATTTTATAATATTTATTTCTTAAGTGATCGTGCACAAAAAAAAACCGGAATTATAAAACAGAATTTACATTGAACTTGTAGCGATAAATAGAAAGTAAAATATGTGAATTGGTAAATTTTGCCCAACAATCATCAAATTATAATATTGATAAAAAAAAAAAATTGCAACAATCTGTTAAGTGCAATTTATGAATTGCTCATAAAAATATGCACATAAGAGAATGTAAAATATGACCCAATAATTATTTCAACTAAGTATATGATTATATAAATGACTAATTCAAAACAACTGTGTCCGTAAAGTATTACTGAATTTCAGCAATTAGCCTATCTACTATCGTTTAATCTTAAAACATGAAAATACTTAGGTACATAAATAATAATAATTATGTATTAACTTAATTAATTAAATCAACCGTTTTTGGAGATTATATGCCTAAATAAATATTAAGAATACCTGCATATGGTTATATCATAAATATAAATATTTAAACTATAATTTAAAAACAATTATATTTAAATGAAACAAAACTACAAATTACTAAAAATACAATATGCAACAGTAATGTAAGGAACATATAAATCCGAAAAAAAAATTATAAATGTGAATTATTTATAATACTTACAATAGTCAATACATTCTACAATAAATCAATTTACTTTTAATGACTTTGATTGGCAATTATTTTTCTATAGTTTGTAATATTACTTGAGATCATTATTTTAGAAAATACTTATATGCAATTAATTATTATGAATGACATAATTATTTCATAATAATAAATTTTCAAGTAAATTACGTAAACATGAGAAAAAATATAAACATCCATTCATTTATTTTCAATAGCTTGTAAAAATTACTAGTATACTAGTTTTATGAATACTTCATAACTCAATTTTTACCACTACCACCCTACACCATTTATATTAAATTAAAAATATGACCAACATTTTCAAATACTTAATATTTTACAAATCATAACTCATAAGGTAATAGTTGTACATTTTACAAAGAATGTTTAAATCAAAATGAATAATAAAAAAAAAAAAAAAATGTGTTATAGTTCATATTATGATATGCTGTATTATACTCTATACACTATAGTCTATAGTATACTTATTATATGTGTTCATACAAAAACTATAAAATATTGTTCCTCAAACATGGTTTTTTAGTTGGAAATTATTATTGTTATCATATATGCCGCAACTGCAACTGCACCTATAAAATAACGAAAGCCATAAAACGAGTATCTGCAGTATAAAAAAAAACCTACAAGTTAGAAAACCTGACTTAAACAACAAAGTCAGGATTAACGCAATGCAAGTATAGATGTTTTTAAATTAAATATAATGTACCTTGCTAACGCAATATTCAAATAAATGTGCATATCTTAATGATAAGTGATTTATATTAATCGAAACCGTCAATAGATTCTTATCTTATAATTGCCACACTAAGTGTGTAAGCGTACCGAAATGACGATGCTCAAATTTTGAGCTGTAAAAATAATGTGGGAACGATTTTAAATTACATTAACGTGACTCAGTAATCATTTTGACCTCAGATTTCCATATAATTTCAACAATTTAGATACCCCGCAAGTATATGACGTAATTACTGTATTAGGAGATTTCTCATATTTCAAGATCAATTTTTTTTATTTTCAACCCTTAATCAGGCCATCAGAATCTATGCATATTGAAATAAACTAAGAAATGTCGGGTCAATTAGTGAATCAAATAAAGTTATTCCGTATCAACTTGATAATGATTAATTTTTCAGTATTTTTATAAATACTTCGTATAATATATTGGTCATAAATTAGTTTTTTGTTCTAAAATAAAATATATAAGTATACAATTTGTATTATACAATTGTTGTTTGTATTATAGCTTTAGTTTTTCTGAATGTATAAATTATTTTTCAGTAGGTATATTTATTAAAATTAATTCAAGTAAATTGATAATTATTTCAAATAATATACTCTACACAATCAAATATAAATAATATTATTATATTATGAAATATAATAAAATGGAATATGTCTACTTAAAACATTTGATTTTGTAATATGCTTAAAAACTAATAAATACAATTAATTTTTAAAAGAGTAAATACATAATACTTTAATTTATTTTCAAGCTGTTATGTAAAATAAATTTATCAATATTTATTTATGTGAAAAGTGCAAACATATAAAGTACAAACAACAAAATTGTAAATAAATATAACGCTAATAATATTTATCTGTCAGTCAATATAAAATCAATCTGATTTAGTTGAATGATAAAAAACTTTTCTTTTGGTTAGCAGTTGATATTCGCTGTTTAGATGGTGGACGGATTTATAATATTTATTTTTGAAATCATCACCAAAAAACATCAATACTTATTCCAAAAATTGACACTAATCATTAGGGAATTATTCAATTTCGTTCAACCAAAATTAAGAATGTCTTCTTTTGTATATTTTATATTATTAGATAATTTTTAAGACACACAAACTATTACAAAATCAATATAAAATAAATAAATATTAAAACTAACTTTAAACAATGCAGTCAACCGTAATCAAATAATATTTGTATACAAAAACCTTAAACTATTGAGTGTATAATAAATAATAATGCAACCAACGTAAACGGAGAATATTAATTCTTTCAATTCTTTTTTTATTTATAGGACTGTCGTGAAAAAGGGATCTCAAAACAAAAAAATCCCTGCTTTTCGATAGATGATAAATCCATAATATTAGGGTTCATAATATATACCTAGTTTTAAAGTTTCGATGACAATGTGCAGTCGAATTGTAATTAATAATTTAAATTTTTTTCTTTAATTACAGAACAGGGGCGGAAAAAGGGGGGGGGGGGGGGAGATACATCCCCCCATGACCTTTTTTCTTTAATATTTATAACAATGACATTTTTGAATTTGTACTATAATGTTAATGTATTCAATTTTACTATTAAATTTTAAAATTGATTTAATAATATAATACAAATATTGTTATAAATAAAATACTAATTGAAACTTAAAGCGTACCGAAATGACGATGCTCAAATTTTGAGCTGTAAAAATAATGTGGGAACGATTTTAAATTACATTAACGTGACTCAGTAATCATTTTGACCTCAGATTTCCATATAATTTCAACAATTTAGATACCCCGCAAGTATATGACGTAATTACTGTATTAGGAGATTTCTCATATTTCAAGATCAATTTTTTTTATTTTCAACCCTTAATCAGGCCATCAGAATCTATGCATATTGAAATAAACTAAGAAATGTCGGGTCAATTAGTGAATCAAATAAAGTTATTCCGTATCAACTTGATAATGATTAATTTTTCAATATTTTTATAAATACTTCGTATAATATATTGGTCATAAATTAGTTTTTTGTTCTAAAATAAAATATATAAGTATAAAATTTGTATTATACAATTGTTGTTTGTATTATAGCTTTAGTTTTTCTGAATGTATAAATTATTTTTCAGTAGGTATATTTATTAAAATTAATTCAAGTAAATTGATGCTCATAAAAATATGCACATAAGAGAATGTAAAATATGACCCAATAATTATTTCAACTAAGTATATGATTATATAAATGACTAATTCAAAATAACTGTGTCCGTAAAATATTACTGAATTTCAGCAATTACCCTATCTACTATCGTTTAATCTTAAAACATGAAAATACTTAGGTACATAAATAATAATAATTATGTATTAACTTAATTAATTAAATCAACCGTTTTTGGAGATTATATNTAGATGATAAATCCATAATATTAGGGTTCATAATATATACCTAGTTTTAAAGTTTCGATGACAATGTGCAGTCGAATTGTAATTAATAATTTAAAATTTTGTACTTTAATACAGTACAGTGGCGGTCAAACGGGAGGGGGGGAGATACATCCCCCCATGACCTTTTTTCTTTAATATTTATACCAATGACATTTTTGAATTTGTACTATAATGTTAATGTATTCAATTTTACTATTAAATTTTAATGTTTAAGATATAATAACCGTAAGTTATATTTTTAATAATCAAATATGTTTAAAAAAAAAAACAGTCATATCCCCCATCATGACAAAATCATTTGACCGCCACTGATACAGTAATAGGTTAGCCCATTAACTCATAGATGTATAATATTTCATAAATACACGTCATTAACAATGATATCGATTAAACAATAAATTAATGCATTCAAATAATTCATAGTCAAATCGTGTCCAATAACATATTTCAATTATTTTCCAGCTAAATCCCAAACGAACATTGTCAATGATAAATAATTATGAGTTTGAGTTTTTGGCAGTGACAGTAGGTATATTAACGTCAAGCATTATCGCATAAATCTTTTCACGTGAATAATAATAGGTATAATATTAGGATGATCAAATATGTCTGTAATAGATATGATAATAGTTTTCAAGCATAAGACCATTATTTTTCTCCAATTTGTTTTTCATTATACATTGTTGAAAAATATAATGGAGATCAAAATATGTTTTATTTATTTTTCCAGCACGGATTTCTTACTTACTGAATTGCAAACATTATTTTTAATTGTATATTATATATAATATTGTACAAAACGTTTTTACGAAAATATTTTAACATTTTCTCAACTATTATGACTACACCATAACAATGTTTGAATTGCGGGGAGATAATATTTCACCAATATTTTCCACGAGTCGCCGAGTGTCTAAACTTTAAATGCTTAAAAATAATAAACTAAATTACTCATTATTCAATATCTATTTGGCAACTATTTATAAAACAAAATATTCCTAAATATTAATCTACCATTGCTACCTGAAATAAGAACAACAGTTATTTTATCGTTGCAAAAATAGTGAAATCTTTCAGTATCACTAATTTTTTATCAAAATTCTTATAGGTGTGACATCTGTTTCAATTAGAAAAATAAGTTTAAGTGATAAATATAATAAATGACGACTTAGGAAAAAAAAAAAAGAAAAAAGCGGCCTCCCGACGGACGTACTTCGACGTGAATAGAATAACTAAAAATAATAGTATATACGTATAACTTAAAACGTATTGTTTCTAGTAGAGAGGGTGAATCGATAAAAAATAAGGATTTAGTTAAACAATTAATACAAATACTTCGTATACAGTTGCGTCATTTCAAATGTTGATAGGAAGTGAAATAGAGTAGGCTTATTAATTATCAACTACCGAAACAAACCACACTACAACAAAACCAAATTCATGCAAATTCATTCCATAGCATCGTCGGTCAAATTGTGCCACTGATCTAGTCTTATAATATAATTACCACACTTACCGTCCACCATATAACGTAACCAGCCAATCAATTAATAATTTTATGCCTGGGCGAAATTCATTTTTGTTAAGGCCTCAGAATAAAGTTTTTTTTATAAAGCGAGGCAAAAAAAGGGCATGTAGGGTAGGGGCCGATACCTACTCTAAGGTACGCTCTGCATACGGCCATATAATTAATTCCGACTGACCAAACCGTTTGCTTCAGACGTGACGGTCGGCACCAAAGTTGACGTGGTTTGCGGTAACGTGTCGAAAAACTATCTGGAAGTCAAGTGCTACCCGGCGCCAGATGCGTTCAACCCTTGCGAGGATCTGATGGGAAATTGGACTCTCCGCGTGGCCGTGTGGATCGTGGCCGTGGCCGCTCTGCTGGGCAACATGGCCGTGTTGTTCGTGTTGCTCAGCAGTCGGTTCCGGTTGACGGTGCCCAAGTTCCTCATGTGCAACTTGGCCATGGCCGACTTTTGCATGGGACTCTATCTGTTGCTGATCGCCGTTATGGACGCCCGATCGATCGGCCACTACTTCAATCACGCCATATTCTGGCAGAGAGGTAACCAGCTAACAAGAATTAATTATTTGTGATTAGGTACACATATAGGTTTACCGAAGTACCGGAAGGTGAAAGATTTTCACCCTTAAATGTTTCCTTCCTGTCCAAGGCGAATAGTGAACGGAAGCGTCCTACTTGCAGCTTTATCTTATAACAAGTTGAATGCATGGAATTTACTCCGCCCACAACTATATTATGCGAAGATTTTTATTAAAGTAGGATACTCATTTCAATTCATTCGTAATTTTTTAGAGATTCTTATTAGTGCGGAATAGCTGAGGTAATTTTAATTTTCAATTGTGAATATTTGTTATAGAAGTATCATATACATATACCATCACCACCAAACCTTTAAATAATTTATAAGCATTAAACATGTAATGTTCAATTACGATAATTTAAGCAAATAAACAAATACAGTAGAAATCATTTTACACAATACATTCAGATTTTTAATATTTAAATACTTTGTATATGACATAATATAATGTACCGATATTATATTGTTACACATTGCTCGTCGAAACTTTAATGTTTATATAGATACTGCAACTTTTGGTTCGATATTCGATGTTTGATATTTATGAATGAGTTCATTTTCAAAAATATTATTCTTAACAAAAAGAAATATTAAGAATGTGGGCGGCCTTTAAAAATGAATTCGAAAACCTAAAAGAAAATCACGATGTTAAATATTTTACTTCATTGTTGAGTTTAAAAGCCTCAAAAACCTTAAAAAAAACAACAATTAATGGGGAAAACGAGTGCCTTACTCGCATAGAACAAAGTACATGCATCTGGCTCATTTATAATTATATTAAAATATATTATAATATTAATCAGTGAGCTGTCCCGAAGGACATCCCTTGCCTCAAAATACCGTATCTGCGTTTAGTTGATCAAATTATTTCGGAGGGTTTGTTGTCCGTGCACTTTGAAATTCATAGGTATCATTATCGGACACATTAATTGGACGTTGTTCAAAAACGACGAGACGTACATCATAACAAGTTTAACAAACTTTACACCGGATCTGCTACTCGATGATGTTACGCGCAATTTCGCCGAGTACATTTTGCAGTTTTGTGGGCCGTGTATTTAATTACGAAAATAAAATATTATGCCGTTGACTCTAGGTCTCCAGACGAACAAATAGTTTTATCATCGGCGAGAGAGAATGCGCCAAGTGGAACACTGCTGCTGTAATCGAAGACGATTTTAATTGTTTACATCATATGTACCACTCACATACAATACTGTATGTCTGTATGTATGGCGGCGTGTATTTTGTTTCTTTAAATTAAAAAATGAAACTCGTCGCGTACGTACCAAATGGGTTACGATGATTGTCACGATATTTATTAGTTTATGCGTGCTAAATATAGGTATAAATACTTGTTGCTCCTTTATATTGCGAATTTTCAAAATCCGACTCGTTAGCGCTTATTACTGTCCGCGTGACAGTTGTTTTGCGACACTCGTAGATTCATATAAATCGTATAAACGTATAAAAAACTCTTCGAAAAAGTGCATATTATAACTATAACAGTGTCAATAAAGTACCATAGTTAATAATATAATATTATTATTAAAATGAAAACTTCATCCATCCGGTGGCGCTTTTATCCAATACTTTACATATATAATATGTATATTAATAATATCGCGTTCAAATTTTATTCATTATGTACGATTCCTCATTAAAAAAAAATTTAGTATCGCTTTTTATTAGTTGAATTGTATCCATTTAAATATATTAAAAAAAAAATATATATCAATTCCCAGTTTAACTATAGTCGGCTAAATCACCACCAAGGTACAATACTGCAATATTATACTTATAAACAATGCAGTTGTTCGGGTTATTAACATTGATAACGACGGTTTATACAATATAGGACGTTTAGTTGTGTAGAAGGACATTAAAAACGTTAAATTCGTTCTCGTCCTTTAAAACGGCAATAACTAAACGCCATAAATGCCACTTTATAGCACAACTCGGTGCCTTATCGTACACCGTCGCGTCGTTGTGCCATGCACACGGCTACTATACTTTCGCTGACGGACTTTGTGCGTGTATAAAAGAGATACGCGGAAAATAGTCTGCGCATAAAATATAATATTGCGTAATGTGCGTAGGTACAAAAACACACAATTACAGGTTATAAGGTGTATTGTCTGTCACACATGCTCACACACTCACTCTCAATTGCGGACACTTACCTTACACACCCAGACATAAATGTACGGTAGTTTACAGATTGAGCTCAAAACGCACTTGATATCGTATATTATACCAATTATTGTGCTCGGTCATTTTCTGGGTCGATAGACTAATAATTGAGGTCGGTAATTTCTGAGTCGATAGACCAATTGCACTCGGCAATTTTCAGAGTAATATTAATTGTACTCAATAGCTTTTCATTGGAATAAAATGAACATGAGCAATAATACATACAACATAATACGAGTAATATACACAAATATGTGATTGCAATTAAATGAACCACTTGTATAATTATAATTTATTTTACATTACAGTAGATTTTTAGTATATGATTAAAAATTATCCATAATGTATAGATAAGTAGCTTACTTCAGATTTAATAAAAATGATTTTTTCTTCAAATTTTTCAATCGTTGTACAATGGCTGTCAATAATAGTTTTTAATATTTAATATTTAAAATATGCCTAATATACATAAACACACATAAAGCATATGCAGCTCAATTTGTACGCTGACCTAAAATATAAGCAGCACAATTCGTTAACTGGCTCCTAAAATACAAATTTTGTTTCAGGCCCAACTGGTCTATACCCAAATATAAAGCTACTAGACTATTAAAATAAATTAACAGTTATTATATTATATCAATTCATATTTTGGTATCACCCAAATTTATATTTTAATAAAAGTAATATTAAAAATGTAAAAAAAAAAACTATCCAAACTATATAAAAACCACGTTTTCACGTATCTACAACTATTTTTGATTAATGTGAATTATAAATTTCAACTAATTCATTGCATTATAATTTATATATTTAATAAGTAGTCACCAATAACCAATCATTAGCACCTATGTACTCATTACTCATTATCATTTATAGTAGATAGGTACCTACTAGCTTTTGGTAGCTGAATAGTAATTACTTAACCACTAATGTTATAAACCGCATACGATTTTTATTTTTATTTTTGAAAGATTTAACATGTATTTTGTCTAGTATAATTACAAATGTCCAATTTGTTTTAATTTAATTTTAAATTATAGTGTTTAACATACGTTAATTATGTAGTGGTTCGAGGTGACTGTTTAGTTATAATAGTGTGCAGTCATACAAGATACCTGCAATCTGCATCATTCCGTGTGATGTTCGACAGCAAAATTTAATTATTTTTCGTAATTGGCTTTTTTATGGCAAAAAAAAGGCCGCGTCAGAGTTTGAGAGCAGTTCTTTGTGATTCCGACATAAAACAGAAAACACATTTTCGTTTACTCATTTTTAATCAGTATTTATAAATTATAATATATCTTGTGGACAACATGCTCTATGTAAAAATGAGCATTATTCGAACTGCCGGGTTACAGGCGACTACTAATTGAACAGTATCTCGTCTGCGACTAATTTCGTCGATAGCTAAACACAGTTCGGGCAAGTGTAACGATTTCACGATTTTTTATTTACCCACTAAAGTATCGGTCATGCACTCGTACTAATGTACTATAAATACCTAGTATTATGAGTGTATTGATATACCATATGCATGATATACGCAGTCATTGGCGTATAATGGCGGGAGGCTAAGGGGACTAAGCCCGTACATTTTTTTAGTTTCATTTTTAGAGTACAGTTCATGTACCTGAAACGTTATATGCCTTAGCTCCCCTCGCACCCTCCCCCAAATAAATATATCATACTACGATTATGTAAGCAATATTAGTGATTAGTCGATAGCATAAAATATAAATCTATATGTTATATCTTAAATACGGTAACTCTGGAGTAAATTTACAAAAATTATATGTTCAATAAATAATATCACTCCGATTCACTGGTGTTCTTGAACTCGTAGATGTTTTTTATTATAGACAAATAATGTAGAAGATTAAACGAAACAATATTTATGGCATGTACTTGGAGCAATAATATATCGAATCAGACAATGTTCTAACGCGGGGTGTAAACATAGAAATATTTTTCTCGCCGATTGAAAATAAGCGAGCGAAATCGAAAAGAAACAATAATAACTATTTTCAATCATACTCGTACCTAAATTATGATGGTTATATACTGCACACTCAATAATACTTACACAAATTAATTAATTAAAGAACATTAATTATATCTATGTCGTTCAAACGACTATGAAACCCAGACACCTTTTTATTATAATAATTTATAACTAAAATTATCATAAGCTAGTTAGGACCAGTGGCGTATTTTATGGAGGGTGATCTGGGAGATTTATCACACCCTCCCTCCCCTCTCCCCCAAAGAGCTTTTTTTACTATTGAATAAATGTTTAATATTTTAAATGCTGGCATAGTTATAAGTTAAATCATAGCCTATAAAAGTTCTCTTTACTAAAAGGTAAGTAACAAAAGGAGAAGCAGGGGACAGATATCCTAGGCCCAAGATCATAGAACCTTGTTGACTTAGGTCCTAAAGGATATCTGCCAGCATGGCTCTTAATGTTCAAAATAGTTAACGTCATATCAACCCTTAGAAAAAAATCTTAGATAGGCCACTGGTTAGGACGATACTAATATAAGTTAATTTGTCGGGTGCTTGTAACAATGCGTTCAATGAATTACAACAAACCAAATCCTGTTGTTGTTATAAATGTTTTAAGATTATAAACTATAACCTAAACCCTTTGGCGGTCACTGTTTTACAAATGTGCAGGTATTGGTTGCCAAGTCGCCGGTTTTCTGACTGTGTTTTCGTGCATGCTGTCCGTGTTCACGCTGATGATCATCACCGGCGAACGTTGGTACACCATCACTTACGCCATACACCTCAACCGTCGACTCAAGCTCGGCGCCTCCGTCAACATAATGGCAGTCGGTTGGCTGTTCTCGGTGGTCATGGGTGCTTTGCCGCTGATGGGTACCAGTGGTTACTCGAAGACCAGGTGAGTGGTATATGGACTATCAGGGCACATATAGCCGAGTGTTCTTCGACGAGGAAAAAAAATTACTAAGAACAAGTTTGCTGCAAGGCCGTTTCTCAAATATCATTATTTTCAATTTTGAAAGAGACTTTATTTCACCGTAAATTTATTAGAAATGAATATTTGTTGGAAATACATAGTTCGAGAGAGACAACGTGTATCAAATTAAAATTTTTTGATTGTTCAACGACAAATCAAACTCAAGTAGAATTTAAGCTTTCCAAAATATTGCATTCCAAGGCCAATTTACTTCAACCTAAAAACTTTTCATAATGATTTTGAAATAAAATCATTTGAAGTAGAATCACGAATTTTATTTTCTAATGCGCTTTCATTGTTGAGTTCAAAATTAAGTTGATAATCCTCCGACAAATGATCTTCCCATCTTAACTCTGGCAGGAAAACCTCGACAAACCGGTGTCAAATTTTATATGTATGCTTATAAATTATTAAATCGAGTTATCAAAAAATTTAAATATTGAATATTATGATTGCAATTTTGATCCAGTTGAAAAAAAAAAACAGGAAAAAAAATTATATTATGATATTTTGTCTAAATATAAAATTCAGTACGCAGTAAGTCATTAACGTTAAATAAAACGATATTGGAAATAAAAATGTGGTTGAAAAAAAAATAACGTTTGATTAAGAGGTTGTGCAAGTTATATATAACCTGTATTGTATTTTATTTTACATTGTGAAAAAACCACTAAGAATTTAAAATTTAAATTGATTTTATCCAAATCTGTTGTTATTTTATACATAATAACTAATAAGTTACCAATAATTAATTTCTCGAACAGTTCTTCTGAACAGTTTAATGTAAATTAAATATTTGAAATATATTTTTCCAAAGATTTTATTCTGAGAAATAAAAATATATGCTATAAAATCAATAGCCTTCAGGAGCGAATCTAAAACGCCGACTATATAATAAAAATATTCGTATTTTACCTTTTTTTTTATAGATACGATTATATCATTTCGAAGACAGGTTGTTTAAATTTTGGGTGGAAACCCCAAGTATAAACAGCTAGTTCCATATTTGTTACGACTTGAGAAATATTTGAAAACTTTATTTCAACTTATATACTCCATAAATCATAATTTCAAATCCAATGTAGTGCGTAAGCACAATAGTCGTCAAAAGTGTACTTGTAACCCAAATTTTTGTTATAGAAGCTTTTCGTTTGATTCCATTCTCAATAGCGATATATAGGTGTACTGGCACAATGCAGCAACTAGATATAAATTACATATAAAATGTTTCAAAACAACAATTATTTTATCAGGTTGCATTACATATTTGAAATCAATGGTTAGATGTTAATCATTAAGTCAACCAAAGAAATACATTTCTACTCCAATTCAAAGTTTAAATTAAAAACCTTATAAAATCGTTGAACTCTATGAAGTATTATGAACATTGGTCATTTTTTTTAAATGTTAGTGTTTTTTTATTAAGTACAATTAATAACAATATATACCATTATGCCAAGTACCTATGACAACTTTTATAATATATGCTAGATGTACCTTACATTTAATATATTAGTTAAAATATACTAGATTATTTTTATTTTAAAAATAAAACAAAACTGATAGGGTTGGGGTTTCGGGCATAGGACATTCAGCTCCCATTTTACAAAAAGATCAATTCCCAAATGGCTCCAGTTTTTTTCAACACAAACACCTTTGAACTTCATACAGACTTAGAACTGTTTTAAAAGAGATGTGGTTAAAAATGTTATGATTTTTTTTTTTAATTGCATATTCAAAGTAAATAATAAAAATTATACAAAAAATCATATGTGATTTAAAAGTAAAAAAACATATAAAAAATATAAAACTCATACATTGGGTAAATTTGGGTGGAGCCTTTTTTGACGAGAATCGTTTGGGCTGCAACATTATCACTAAATATGTTTGTCCTTCCAATATAATATTCTATGAAATGTCGTAATGATAACCACAGTATTATTCGTCAATATAATTTATACATTTACGAATTTATAAACCACGCGATGATGGTTTTTTTTTATTTTATACAGAATCCTATTTTGACAATAGCTAACGATTCCATTCCATTAGAATTGCTAATACAACACAACCCGGTTTATACCACGTGGTATTTGATATATTTCATATGTGTGTGTTTTTTTTTACTACCCACAAGCCAAATATGAACATAAATTCTAGAAGAAGGGAATTCGATTTATGACGACTAAAATCTCGAGGGAAAAATATATCTTGGACACGATGTCCGTGTGCCTTTAAAATTGTGAATAGTTTTCATCTCAGTACTCTATACATGTTTCTTAAGAAGAAAAATCAACGAAAATTCGGCACGTGAGCACTATACTCGTTTATATTGAATTTTGATCCCACCGTGGATCAATTGCGATTTCAAAATTTAAAATTTCGCATCGATAAACGGACCCTTCCATTCTGATATAGATGAAAAAATTGTCTCTTTTTTTGTTAAAATTGGGGACTTATTTGAGACGATATTGTATGCGTCTTATAATCGAGGCACTTTAATGCGTCAATAACGTCTAAACATTTCTTAAAAATCAAAAAGGAGAACGGCTTTTTACTTCGATGTTGATATTTTATTTTAATTGGCTTTGAGAGTGTTGTCGAGTGCACAAAACAAAAAAAAAAAATGACTGTACTTCATCGACGGTTGGACATGAACAAGTGTGACGATGATTGCGAGCAACGTCAAATCCCTCGACAGCCGATATGACGTGAACGAATTCTAAGTACCCATAGATGGGTCATGACAAATTTATTATTATTATGAGGCGTATTCGGGTACAACAATGACGTGTGCTCTTTGATAAACTCGAGGAAAGTTACGGTGTAGTTTTACTAATTAGTTTTTTAATTTATATCTATTTATTTTTTTTAGTCAGCGCTTATCTACTTAACGAACGAAAATAATTATTTTTGAACGGTTTTTAATTATAATTACAGCTTTACGGGGAACTTAATATTATTATTATTATTATTATAATTTATTTATATATTGTATAGGGATTCACAACACCGTTAATTTTTAATCGATTTTGAAACTAAACAAATATTTTTATGTAATTAATTTTTCACGAATAACCGTCTCTCGACGATCGCGACGTATATGATAATATTATAATACAGCCACAGTGACGCCGAGTGAACGGCGACGGCGGCGTAGCGTGTAACCGAAGAATAAAAGCGCTCGGCGATTATTAAGGTCGAATTTGCATATTATTATTATCATTATTATTATTATTATTATTACGTACACCACTCGAGCATGTACTGAGCACCATTATCTAGCTTACCGAATCTCTAAAACCGCTTTTCGCCCAGACACGTGAGTTTCTTTTTCACGTGATTATTTCCGAAACCAGAAACTCGAGGAGAACCTCTACAAACGGCTAAGAACGGTCTGCGTAGGCGAAAGCACTGCACAGATTTATTGTGGTTATTGTACTGCAGGTATCAGTCTAAATAATCTTTTTATACCTAGGTATCTGTATAGGTGTAGTACATTATTTTCCTTTGGGATTTTTCACTCCATATCTGTTTTTGGGCAGTTATACATTGGAGATTCTAACCTTTGATAGGATACCTGCACTGACTATTGCAGCTATATCACATATTATTATACTAAGCCCCATAATATACCTAATAATTGTACACCTAATTCAATTTCGGGTGAATAATATCTAACGATTAACCGTTGGTCATATTATAATGATTACATCATTAATATTTGAAAAAAATTATAAATTTCAATAAAAAACATACATTTGTTGAGCTTGTCAATAAATAGTGTATTAAAAAACTTACTTATCATTGATGTTAAATTAAAGGTAAGCAGTACCCACCCACACAAAACAGTTTGCCAATATAAGTGTGCCACAAAGCAGAGTTCTCTTGGCGGCCTCAGTATAGTAACATGAACTTGAACGTAATTTGTTAAATGTTTATTAGTCGTTGAAGTACATTGGTCAATAATAAGAGAGGGGACAATGAGGTAATGCCATCTGATTGGTCGTCCTTGACAATTTATCACTAATTAAAAAACCACTATTTTTTTTATGCAGATCACTATCATTCATCAGATAAATAAATATAAAAATTAAAAATTGTTTTATGGATTATAATATTATCATAATAATATAATAATGCTATTATTTTATAATGAGTTCTAATTACTCATTAATATAATATAAATTCAGCTGTCCACACTCCATACTATACATAATAGGTAATTAATAATTTAGTTTGTAATATTGAGAACATTTGTCTAACGAATGTGCTCCGAATTAAAACTACGTTCTTCATTAACTCAACTCTTTTTGTTCATAAGTATTTGGAGGGTGAACTTGTTTATGAGTTCACGTGCCACCTACCATTCACAAAAAAAATACTATACAATTTTTCATTAATTATTAGAAATTTCAAATTAGTACCGCGAAAACGTTCTTTTAGTCCCCCCTCCCTTAAAGAAATTTCGGATCCACCCTTGCGTTCACCTCGACAGTAATTAAATATTATGATAATTGCAGCATTTGCCTACCCATGGACAACTCTTCGTTCGCCGACAAGGTGTACCTGTTCTCCCTGCTGACGTTCAACGGAGTGGCGTTCGTGGTGATATGCGCTTGCTACGCCAAGATGTACTCATCGATCAGGGGCGGCCGCGAGGCGGTGGCTTCGGTAGCCCGGTCCGACATGACGGTGGCCAAGCGCATGGCCCTGCTGGTGTTCACCGACTTCGCGTGTTGGGCGCCGGTGGCGTTCTTCGGACTAACCGCGCTGGCCGGTTACCCGCTCATCGACGTGCCCAAGACCAAGATCCTGTTGGTGTTCTTCTACCCGCTCAACTCGTGCGCCAACCCGTACCTGTACGCTCTGCTCACTCAACAGTACCGCCGCGACCTGTTCGTCCTGCTCAGCCGGTTCGGCGTGTGCAGCCGCCGCGCGGACGAGTACAAGGGAACGGGCCCGGTGCCGTGCGGCCGCCGCAAGGCCCACTGCAATGACGCGCAACGGCACCGGGACCGCCGGGGCTACGGGGGCGGTGGCGGTGGTGGCGGGGGTGGCTTCGGTGGCGGCGACGACTGCGGTGGGGGTGGGGGCGGCGGATACGACGACGTGGGACAGAGCGGCGGCGGGGGCAGTAACCATCACCGGGGTTCGGTGATGACCACCGTCACGTCCGTCGACTCGGTGGTCGCGTGCCGGCCGGGATCGCTGACGCCGCTCCAGGAGCAGCTCAACTGCAGCGCCGAATACGCAGCGCATCGCACCCACTCACCGCCGCACACACCGTCGCCGGTGCAACAGCTGCAGCAGCCGTCGCTGATGACGCCACTGCAGCAGAACTTGGAGCTGATGCCGCTGCACCGGGCTTGACGTACGGCCGCCGCCGGAGACCGCGACTACGACTACGACGACGACTACGACGGCGATTCCGTGTTGGTCGTTTCGATGCAACTGCGACCGAGGTCGCGAGACGGATGCAGCGAGTGACCGTGTGCGACGTTTTGACGCTCGAAGATGCACCGTCGATCCGAGCGAAATCCATGACCGCCGCCCATTTTCGACTATAATTAACTCGTTGTTACTATTTTGACGAGCGCGCCAGATTTTTTGAGAGTTTCGCCGCCGTGTCTTGCCGATGAGATGATCAATTATTATTGTGAAACTGCTCGTCCGTTTTCTGTAAAAACAATTCCATTTTCCATTTTACGACCCTGCCGCGTGAAAGGATATAAGATAGGTGAGTTTAGGTAAGTGTACGCTGTTTATATATATATATATATATCGTACAATGCTGGGTGAGTTGACTATTTGTTTCAACTCGTTAAGTTAATATCATATTATATACAAGTATTATGCAGGTAAAACATGTAAGTTAAGTTAAAGATGCTTTGCTTTCTTTTTGACTTGAACATTTTACGACTTGAACAGAAAAATAATAACTCGCACGTAACTCGGTTAAAAATCATTAGACAACTACTTTTTTTAAAATTGGATATTTCAAATACATGCCAAATCACAATATTAGTAAAGTTCGTTAAAGCACACAAAAACAAAAATATATTATAAAAATAATACGTCACGTAAGAGTAATTAACAGTGAAAGAACAGAAACGGAGACCATCCGATGAATGATGATAGACGCTATACTTATAGACAAGGCAGTAAATATCATGGGATAAATTTTAACTCGTTAAGTTAGATTTTATATAGTCTCAAAAAAAAAAATTTAACTTTTTATAGGATTTAGACGAAAGTAATTATTAACTCGTCGATTTGTTAATGCCCAGCCTTGTATGCATATATATACAACGTGCACTGTACAGTAGGTAAGTGCATATAGAATGCGACATTTCGGCACATGTTATTGCGATTAATATTATATAGAGAGTAAATTATGTTTTCAACACACGGCACATGTCGTGAAAAGTCGATTAGTCGACAAATGAATAATATGAAATATTGTATTCGTATAGTAAAAAGTGTTAAACCATTATTTAGTTGTATCTATGTAATTTGCACATATTATAATATGACACAGTATATTATAAATGTTTTGAAAAATCTCAAAAACTCATGTTTTGTATAGAATATTTTAATGACGACTTTAAAGTCATTAAGTATCTCATATAGATATATAATATAATTATCAAGTGTATAATATTCATGTTCCGCGTTTTACTTTTGTACGAATGAACGATATTCATGTGTGTATGACTGTTTTACTCGTTAGAAAGAGAATTTAATAAATGTTTGACTACCTATAGATGTTGTATTATACTATATATATATATATAAAGATTTACTATACATTATTTAGTGTTGATGAACTTGTATTGCTGCTCTAAGTGTGTGTGTTGTTTAGTTTAATTTTTTAATGTTTCGAAGACAATTTATGAAATAAATAACATTATAAACCTACATCGGCGACGGTTATTATTATTTCAAATTTCGTTCAATTATACCTACATACCTACCTATTTTTCTATACCGGTGTAAAAAAAAAAACAATATCACCGAGGGCCAAGTTTTAACTTCTTATAATAATATTATACACATCTCCAAATCATAAATAATCATGGTGAGTTCTTTGTTGGAGAGTTTTTCAACAAATCAAGTAAATGTGAATTTATATCGCACCGCCAGTACATTTACTTAATTTGCTATAAATGGAGACAAAAATATATATTATATCGGTGTTCATTACAAATTCATTACAATACGAGGATTAAATACATGGTTGAACCATGGTGATTCAATACTTCAATATTGACAAAATAAAAAATATTACCATTGGGCATTGAATTTTAAATGCCAGTATTATAGATATTTATAGTATGACATTAATATACAAAATGCAAATAATTGGTCGTATAAATAATAAATTAAAAAATGTGTACACAGTATATTATATTACTATTATTATACAATATTTACATATACCTGAGGACCATATTAAACGAAATCTTAGCTCTAATATTATTATTATTTTAATCTTCGTTTTGAGGAAGGAAAATATTATTTATCACTCAGTTCAAACAGTATTCAAGAAACTATATTATGTAAATTGTGCATAAATTATACTCCGCGAAGAAAAAATCACAACATTATATTATGCAGTATAATATACACCATTACACCTATAATATTGATGTAAATTCAGCAGGCCACGAAAAGTCACTGGAGCTGATGAACTAATTTAATGTTTAAATCATACTGAACATAATATTTATTATTACGCTTAATTTATCTCATTTTTGTATAATTATCCGGACGGTTCACGAACTATTATCGTCGAGAGTACTTACGACAACCACCATGAATATTGTCCAACAAACTCGTCATAACGTTTTGTCACAACTACTGCACGTATCAATGCGATCGCCTAATTCGATGTTTACATTTAATTTAAACACGCTGTGGCTCGCATTCAAACTATACGAGAACTTTAATTGAAACTGCGGCGGCGGCGGATGATTCTTATCATAAGGTAGGTATTCACTATATTATTCAGTTTTAACGTCTGCAATTCTGTCCAAAAGCGAGTAACGCCTGTTGTATATAATATGTGTATCACAATCGGTCTTAAAGTTCAAAATATAATTAAAACGGTTACCTAATATTTGTTTACACTTTTTCTCGGTACGTATAACAGGCAGGCACCTACACACAAGGAGTGAGTATCTATCGATTTTATTCACACTCTCACAGAACATAATAATAATATGTCTTATGAATTTCACACGAGATATTATGCCGGGGACTACATTCGGCGCATGTTATATTGCGGGCATTCGTGGAATATGATAATAATACAGTCTTAGAGGATCATATAATATACGTCACGGCATGACGTATGTAGTGCACATACGCGTTCCGTTTAACGGTTTAGGACTTAATAATAATCATTTGAAGTTTTAAATTAACAATAAAACCAGTTCTCGCCGCTCGAGGGTTTGACGTGGGGAGGTATACACATAATATGTTATCTATTTGGTTATGGTCCAAGTTCGTCGTCCGATTTATCGTCTGAAAACGGGAGCACTGAATATAATACACATTATGCACTCCGGTTTAATTATAGCGATCTGTATAAATCCCTTAATATTCCTATTGGGCGAACGTATACTGCGAGCGAAATCCTTGGAAAGGAAGACGCTACGCCGTAGCTATAAACTGTCGATTAACTGCAAGCCCTTAAAACGGGGTATATGCGCCGAAACGTAGTGAATATTTCCAAATCCGTTTGGTTTTTCACTCCGACACACACACACACCCGTAGATTATATGGTATGATATTTTTGTCGTTATATTCTGACCGAAAATCGAACGGTCCAATCCCCGAAACGATACGCTTCCTCGAGTGAAAAAAACAATCGTAAAGGTATTTTTTTTATTATGCGAGCCGTTTTTTTTTCTGTTCAACCGTGCACCTCTAATAATGCCCGAAACACAGCTCGGGACACGGCGTGTTACGTGGCTATATGGATATAATATATATGTGTAGATACATAAAAAAAAACACGACGGAGGTGTTTTCTTCTTTTCCGGTTTTTTTTTTTTTATCTTTATCTTTCTCTTTTTTATCATTTATTTATTACACACGTGACATAAACCACTGCGTAACGCAGCAGTATATACTCGATACACAATGTGTTATATATATATGTCGATTCGTATCATATCATATAAATATATATATATATTGTAAATTGCAATGTGCGCGTATACGGCAGCTGGAAAATATAAGATATTAAATTATGTCGAGACAGTGCTGGAGTATCCAGCGAAATTCCTCTGTCCTCGGTAGTCACGATTCGTTTCACTAGAGGGTCGTGATGTAAAGCAGCGACTCTGCAGCATGGCTACAAAAATTAAGTCAATCGATTATCAACGATTGATATTATATTTGAACGATTATTTCAGCACGTATGCTTTTGGCTTGCACACAATATTAATTCATAGTATTTCTGCAATATAATATGTAATAAAAATGATAATGCTTATTGATTGTTACCATTACTGTGTCGAGGTTTCGGCGTTGTCGTTCCAACAGCGTTCTTTTTTTTCTTCGCTTAGCCATATTATAAAGCCGAGTTCCCGCTATTCGTGTGTTTTACCAATCTAATATTAATATATGTACTATATTTCTCTGACTCGTATGTCACAGTTAATATCCGCATGGAAAAGTGTGGTGAATTTCGACTACCAAATACCGAGTATTTTGTAAGTATACAAAACGTAGGTACTCTCTGTCCCCAACAAAACATGGAGAGTATCAACGGGCTATAATAGTCTATAGCAAATATTCGTCAAATACAAGTACAGTCGAGGTCTATCAACATAAATACATATTTTTACAAAGCGGTCCTTGGTTAAACAAAGAATAGGATAACAAGTTAAACGTTTTAATAAAAATGAAAATTGTATGTTTAAACTCAAAATAGCTTATACCTGTTGTTATTTTTTTTTTTTGATTATTTATCAATTAATTTTTAATGTGTACGTGTTGTAAAATATACTAAAGATGAAAATATCCAACTATCAATCTATCATAAAACACATAGCTTATTATATTATAATTTATAGTGCTATCATACAGGAATCCTGGCTTAAATAGCTTTTGAATAGCAGTAGTCATTGTTCATTATAATGTTTAACATTATAACATAATCCATAACACAGTTGATGTTTTCAATTGTATTGTTATCGAAAACTGTATGAGTACTGGCCAAACGGCGTACATATGTGTATTGATTTTAAAATAATTAGTATATTATAAAATCAATGGTATGTACATTAACTTTCGTTTAATTTTCACACTCATCAGTCGGCTTATGTCATCTGTTTTGTACAGTACCAAAATAGTGACATTAAACGACTGCCGACGACTATAAAATATCAGTCGTCAAATGTTGTTCTCGGAAGTCAGCGAAATTCGCTCCAAACCCCCCTTTAAAATAAACCCTAGGATCGCCCACGGTGGCGGGAACCCGGCTTTGTAATAATACGTAGAAAAGGGTATCTATATACCTAATACCGAGTATAAAACTCGATGGGAGGTCTATGAATCTAGGGTACCTGTGGTAACGCCGCGGTCGTCTGCACTCCCGTTTCGACCGATAAATCGCGTAGGTACCTGCCTACGGAAAAAGTTTTCCTCGCACACGAAGCATACGCCCCCTCCTCCCTGAGAGTTTCTAGCGCGAAACACGCGTTTCCGGGTACGCTGGTCCGTCGTGTGATTTACCGTCACTGCAGCCGAAACGACAACGCCATTTCCGGAAGCGGCGGAAGGAATACCCACGCCAAAGTCACACTCTCTATGGGGGCCTAACCCAGACACAATAATTTTTGAACATTTATATAATACGTATACGTTTCCTGGCACTTCCGGTTTAGTGCGTGGCTTTTAATTCCGTACACCGAACGTGTAACGCGCCGATACTCCACTTTATGCATAAACATAATAATATATAACTACCTACTCATCATGTATGTGTGTGTGCAATTCCCGCACAACACGTTGACGTGAAATTATTAGCTATTGCACTAGACCTATACTGTACATCAACCGGCGATACAAACTTCTGTTTTTCAAATGCGGACTCCTCCTCCCCCCCTTTATTTACTGTAAATTATTTAGTGAATATTTTTTTGAAAATTTTGATGTACCTATACCTAATTCAAAATTTTAAACAGTAGTTTTTTAGTTACTAAAATGTTTGTACTAAGGATAATAGTCCTTAAAAATGGTTTTACAAAATTATAAAACGGACTATAGTATTTATTATACCTTGGCTATTTTTACAATTTTTTTAGTATTGATGGGTTAATATTGATGACTAAAATTTTCAAATCACCATAGGTCCCATAACTTATAAGCTCATTATCATGGACCTTTTACGCTGAGAACGCAAAGTTCAGTAACTCAAAAACTACTAGTACGCATTTTGATTCTGATGCGAGAAATTTTTCAGAAAAATTATCCATTGAATTATTATTAACAGTTGAAAAGGGGTGTTCTCATTTGAAAGACAAATTTTTGTACCACCACAAAACACTGACTAAATTGCACAAAAACCACAAGAATTTGAATGAATGAAGAAAAACAAGGGCTTAGTGAATTACTCTGTATAAAGGGAAATTCAAATTTACTATTTCCAAATCTGCGCAGATCACGCATAAATTATAAAGTAATATTCACTAGTTTCCTAAAGCGAGATTCGAGTAATAATATAACGCACACGATAATTGAAGAGCATGTTCACCCCTACTTTTCTTTTCATAATGAATTAATTAAAATTCTGATTTTTGGAATTTTGTATAGAGTAGGTGGGTACTTTTTTAATTGTTTGCACACTGAAGACCCATATTTTCAATTATTAACATTTATTTATATAATTAAAGTATAAGGACTA